TTCTCTCCTTCTGAAGGTGGGGAGGAGAAGGAAGGGATGACTTAGCCATCAAATATTTTTTTCAGCAAAAGAATGTTCACAAAGATAATCGGGTATTCTAACCACACAGATAGACTGCTTGGGAAAGCACAATGGGCTGAAGCAGCCTGAAACCTGGATAGAATGCAGATCCTCTGAAAGCCACAGAAGGATGGAAGCGTGTTCACCCTGACAGTGGGAAGGATGGGCTGTAAAAGGACAGGGGCTTGGGGACATACAGACGCCTACATTCCAAATTTCAGGGCCTGCTTCAAGCCCTGTCTCCACTTCCAACTCAAGCTGCTGGCTGCATGTGCACCCTGGGAGGCAACAAGTTGAAAGTTTAAGGACTTGGGGTCCCTGCCACCACCAACCAGGGACCAAGATGGAGTTCTAGCCTCCTGACTTCAACTGGGTTCAGCCTCGGCCAGCGCAGGCATTAGGGGGATCTCTCTGTCTCTCTGCCTTTTAAATAAACAAATACTTAGAACAGATGGTGACTAGAGGAAGAGGCCAAAACGGAAGTTGACACAGGACTTAAGAGATCGGATCCCCTCGTTCAGCACGTGAGACTGGTGCGGGTGAGCTCCTGCCCCACATCCTTGTCCTGCCCCTGCTGGGGCAGCTCCACAGGCCCGGCTGGGTGCCACCTCTCTGCCAACAAGCCTATGAGGCGAGATGAACAAGTGCCACCCTCCCCCATTGCGTAGGTGGAGAAAGTTGGGAAGAAAAAACAAAGAGCTTTCTTGGCTTTCCAACTTAGCACATTTAAAAAAAAAAAAGTGTTACTTCATAGAGAACAATTTGACAGTGTGCTTGAAGAAATGGAGACACTTTCCCTTCTTTGAATCAGACAGTTCCCCGTTTCAGAAACCATTTTGAGAGAGAAACCCCCAAATAATCAATGAAAAAAAAATAAAAAACATCATGCATAAAGTTATAATTTTCTACGTATACAAACCAGCAGTGGCCAGTTACAGAGGAGTGAATCATTTGCGCTTTTTCATACTTATCAAGCCCATTCATTAATGTATCAAGCCCCACTGTCATCTGAGTCACCTCCTATCTCCCTACTGTCCTCCCTGTCCCGCCATGGTAAATTTTTCACACAACAGCCAAAGAGTTTTCTTCTTCTTTTTTTAAGATTTGTTTATTTTTATTGGAAAGTCAGATTTACAGAGAGAAGGAGAGATGGAGAAAAAGATGTTCCATCTGCTGGTTCACTCCCCAAGTGGCCACAATGGCTGGAACTTAGCTGATCCAAAGCCAGGAGCCAAGAGCCTCTTCCATATCTCCCATGTGGGAACAGGGTCTTCCATCCACAGATTCACTCCCCAAGTGGAGGCAATGGCATTATTGCTGATCTGAAGAGAGGAGCCAGGAATTTCTTCAGGGTCTCCCATGCAAGTACAGGGTCCCAAAGCATTGGGCTATCCTCTATTGCTTTCCCAGGCCACAAGCAGGGTTGTAGAACAGCCAGGATACAAACCAGAGCCCATATGGGATCCTGGGGCACGCAAGACAAGGACTGACTTTAGCCACTAGGTTTCTGTGCCAGGCCCCAGAGAGCCTTCTAAAAGTGACGTCAGTTCTGACTCTCCATCACTCCAGTGAAAGCACTCTGCAATCTGCCCATGTCACTTGGAGAAAAAGCTCAGGAAGGTGACTCTGGCCCATCCACATGTCCCTGTCTCCTGCCACCCTCCTGCACCCACCCTGGCTCTGCTCCTGCTTCCTCATTTTTCCTGAAATAAAAAATGGAACTCCCTTCCCCACACCCCTCAGGGCCTTTGCATCAACTGTTCCCTTTCCTGGCTGTTCTCTACCCCAGATATCCAAGTGGTTCATTCCTTCACTTCCTTCAAGTCATCCATCAAATGCTGCCTAATCACTGAATCCGCATCACCCTAAACAGGGTGACACCTGCCACCTGTACAGTCCCCAGTCTCTCTCCACTCTGCTTTCTGGGTTCACCTCTACAGCATTTACAGATGGACAATGCATTGTTTTTTCATATTTTGCTTTTTCCAGTCTTGTCATTGCTAGAGTGCAAGCTTCCTGGTCAGAGGCTTTTTTGCCCCTTCTGTGCTTTGCAAGCTATCCAGCACCCCCAGAGATTACTGGTCAACTCAACTGACCTACCACTAGGCAGCACCTGTGGTTCCTGAGCGTGTGGCTTGCTGAACGTGGGGAAGAGTCACAGCAAAGGAGGCTGGAGATGCCCCTGGTACAGGGTATTATTGGTCTAGGTAGAAACTTCACAGAGAAGGGCAGAGCATGACCACCTGTGGCATAGCGGGTGAAACCACCACCTACAATGCCAGCATCCTGTATAGGTACCAGTTTGTGTCCTGGCTGCTCCACTTCCTATCCAACTCCCTGCTCTTGTGCCTGGGAAAGCAGTGGAAAATGACCCAAGTCTTTGGGCCCCTGCACCCATGCAGGAGACCCTCCCAGATGAAGCTCCTGGTTTTTACCTGTCCCAGCCCTGGCCTTGTACCCATTGTGGGAGTGAACCAACAGATGAAAAATGCCTCTCTTTTTTCTGTATTTCCTCTTTCTGTAACTCTTTCAAATAAAATAAGTGAATCTTAAAAAAGATTTCTGTGGCGAGATGAGAGCCAAAACATACAGAATTTGTTAGGATGAATAAATTGAAGAAATCTATTATAGAGCATTTTTATTAAAATATTTTTATAAAGATTTATTTTTATTGAAAATATTTACAGAGAGAAGCAATGACAGAAAGATCTGCCATCCACTGGTTCACTCCCCAAGTAGCCACAATAGCTGGAATTGAGCTGATTTGAAGCCAGGAGCCAGGAACTTCTTCTCTTCTTCTGGGTCTCCCACAAGAGTGCAGCATCCCAAGGCTTTGGGCCATCCTCCACTGCTTTCTCAGGCCACAAGCAGGGAGCTGGATGGGAAAGAGAGCAGCCAGGATACAAACTGGCACCCATATGGGATCCTGGCACATGCAAGGCAAGAAGGATTTAGCCACTAGGCTACCGTGCCGGGTCCTACAGCATTTTAATTAACGTGTTCTATACTTACACATGACAAAGAGATTACATTTCAAGCATTCTCAGAATAAGTATATGAGATAATGCATCTGTTACCTTAGTTCAGCCATTCTGTACCATATACATATTTCAGATCATACTGTATAACATATATATGCATATGTGTAGATATAATTTGTCAATTTCTAAAAAAAAGAAAAAAACATTCTGTGGACCAGAACTGGGAAGGTATCTTGGACTAAATAAGGTACAAGCTGAGATAGAAGGGTCAGTAGGCATGAAGCCCACAAGGGGCATGGAGGGAGGGCTCCATTCCATGGGAAGAGTCTGCAGGAAGACCCCGAGTCAGCACATGCATTCCTGGTACTTGAAGGGGTTCCCCATAGCCAGAACGAAGGCTTAGGGAAGGAGGAGGGAGAGTGATGGGACTGGCTGGGTCGGTGAGTTTGCACCTTGTCTAGAAGCTTCATGGAGAGGTGGTCATGATGAGGATTGACTGGAACCTGGAGAGGGGCCAGAGGCTGTGTGCTGAAGCCCTGTGCACACTGCTGTCCCCATCTGCTAGGGGACCAGAGCAAGGCTCCCAGAGCAAGCAGGGGGGACTTGGAGAAGGAGGAGGCCTCAGGGGTGGCAGGGACAGCATTCCAGGCAGAGGGAGTGGCTTGCACCATGCTGGAGGCAACAGGAACAGCATGAGGGGAAGCAGTTATGGTGCTGGTTGGGACTTGGGCATCCTGTCCTGGGGTATGCCTGGGTGTGAATCCTGGCTCCTGATCCCAGCTTCCGGCAAAGACACTCACATGGGCAGCAGCAGTGATGGCTCAAGTAGTTAGGTTCCTACCAGCTGCACAGAGGACCTTGACTGAGTTCTTGGTCCAGTCCCAGCTGGTGCAGTGACCCAAAAGATAGGAAATTGCATTCTATTTTTCTCTCTGCCTCTTAAATTAAATACATAATGAAACAAAAACAGGGAAACTGAGTCATTACTGAACAACTTGCCTGAAGCAAAGGGTTGATGCTTGGATCTAATCCGGGTAGTCTAGCTCCAGAGTTCATGTCCATGACTCCTGCATGGTACTGCCTTCCCAACAAATATCATCTCTGGAAACATCAGGGAACAAGGCCTTTTCTATGTCTGCACAGTGGAAGGTGGTCTCTTCTCCCTGCCTCTCTTGTGATTCTGCATGCCATCCTGGGAGGCAGAAGTTGCCACTCTCTACTCTCCTGGCAAGGAGCAGGGCGTCATTCCTTAATTCAGTAAGTGCAGGCTGAGCTCTCTGCACGTGGCCGTCTTTGCCCTCATGACCTTGCCTTCAGGGAAGAAGAGCCTCAAACCAAGCACACAGCAAGTAAGCAAGACCATTTCAGAGAGTGAGAAGAAGACAGTGCAGGATGCAATGGCAAGGCACCGCTTGAGCTGCTCCACATCCACACAGGTCAGAGGAAGGCATAGACACAAAAATGTTGCCCAGAAGCCTGGAAGGTTGAAGAGGAGGAGCCAGTCTTGGGAAGAGCCAGGTGCATTTCTATTTTCTTCCGGTACAAAAACTCTCAGTAGGACGCAAGCTGGTGGGTGGCAGGAAGGGGATTAGAGAAGGAGCCCACATGGCAGGGAGTGGCGAGGATGGTGAGCATCTGTAGGAGTGAGAGGTCAAGAGGCAAGCAGGGGTCATCACTGTGGCTGAGTTTGAGTTTTCCCCTTCCAGGTGTGACGGGGGTTAAACAAGGGAGTGGTGTGTTCTAGAGCAGTGGGTCTCCTGCACTGTCTGCGAGCAGGAGAAAGAAGCAGAGAGTGGAGGAATACCAGGAATACCAGGAATACCACCGTGGGCCTCCCAGACACCAGCTGCCTTCTCCAAGGATCCATGTTCCCCTTCGTTCTGTGATTGCAGATTGTCGAGCTCGGTCACCGTGCCCACTCTGTCGCACTGCATAACCAATTCTTGTGTTGACTTACAGATCATAAGGCAGCAGTTTCCTCAGTTAACCACCAGAAGACTCGGGACCCGAGGACAGTCCAAGTAAGCACCAGCCAGCCATCCCACCAGCAGAGCTGTGAGGCAGGCTGCGTCTCTAGGGCCTCTGGTACTTGAGTCCTGATCCACAGGCCTATCTGTGTGCCTAACAGTGGTGAGGGTGAGGGGTGGGCAGGAGGGACCACACAGACACACACACGGAGACGCTCTGTGACATCAGGCCCCCAGGACCACTGTGTGCCACCTGCCTCTGGGCATTGTTGTAACAGTCTTGAACATCCTTGAGAGAGACACCTTGTGGCTTCTCGGACAACCTCCAGTCATGTGGACTGCTTTGCTGAGCACCCTCTCTGCTCTGATAGTAGTTGGTGAGTCAGAGAAACAGAGCTAGACTAGCTCCTACATGGACGATGAGACCAAAAGGTGCAAGTCCACTGGGGTCCGCACGACGCACCGCCCCCTCTGCGCTAGTTCCGTCCAACACCAGCCAACCCTTGCTGCACACACTCCGTGTGTCAGACATATTGTGATCCACGCTGGGAGCAATCGCAGCCTGCACAGGATGGACATTTATTTTGAAAGGGAAGACAGATAAGAAAAAGAGAACCGGGATCTCAACGAAGAGGGTGGTGGTAGAGAACAAAGCAAAGGGGGGAGTCGGAGGAGGGGGCTTTCTGAGGCGTGAGGTACAAGGGAAGGCCTGGAGGAAGGAGACTCAGGGGGCTTGGGGGCCTGTCTCTCCTTGTCGCTGGAAGGCAGTATCTTCCTAGAACCACTGAGGTGCCATGAGAATCTGAGTTGACGGGACCAGCTTGTAAGGATATTTCCAAGCCATCCTGTGGGCCCTGGGCTTCCCTGAACAGAAGGCAGTAGGCACACGTTTGGTAAGCACTGAGTTAAATAAGGCTTCCTTTACAGCAAGACTTCTGGGAAGCTTTTATGATGCTAATGCGCACGGTGACTCCACTAGAGGCTGTCTTATTATGCAGCATTTCTAAATGGTCTGACCACTGTGGAGCAGGTCAGCACACAGTGACCTATAAAACACTGCAACATTTAAAAAAGCAGCCACACGGGACTTAGAGGACCTGCCTGTGAGGGTGACTCCAAAGCATACCTGATACTGTCACCTGGGGTGACAGGCCCTCCTATCACCCCTGGGCAACACATTCCTATTCTAGGAATGGGGAGAGATTTGACTTTGAAACTAAGTTAGGGAAAGAAAGTGGATCTCCCAACAGGGCCACCATGTTTTAGTTAACTTCTGACAATGAGGTTAAGTGTGTGTTTGTATGGGGGGGGTGGGCAGGGGGAGTGACTCAGAAGCTCTTGGGCCAGCTTTCAAAGGTAGTTACTAAAAAAAAAGTTTCAAACAGAGGGAAACTCTTGACATGAATTCCTAATAACTTTCCAAGGTAACTGCTCTGGAAAACAAACCTCATTCATAACGAAGAATTATGATATTTGTTTCCAGACAAGGTTTCCGCCTTGGTAAGACTGTGGCATGCAAAAGCCAGGTCATTGCTTGCAGATGAGCAGAATGGGCAGTTCAGAAAGCTGGTAGCACCCAGGAGCGCCATATATGAGCAGATGGTGAATGAATAGGAATGAACTGTTAGTGTCCTGCTCATAGTCTTTGAAGAATTGCTGGCCCTGATATACTGTTACTCGTATCTAAGAAGGGAATGGAGCATAAAGACAGCCAAGGCAGAGACAAAGAACAGAAAAGATTCCCACTCTACCTAGATTTGGAGAAGGTTCCCTTTTGGCTTGTACAAGTGAGCCTGTGTGTGTGCTCCATTTCTTTAACCGGCAATTGGCAAACTGGGCAAATACTCTCTTTTAAAAAATTCTGTGATGTCAATTCTATTGTGTCCTCTTGGTGAGGACTCCGCAAGGTTGGCCACTCCTTCAGGGATCAAAAAGCAACAGGAAGTTCCCAACCAGAAACACGGAGTTAAGAGAGGAAAATCCCTAGCAGCTTGCGCTGGGGGCTGGTCAGAAGTGAGTGAAATGGTGCTCAGGATATAGGAAGGGCTCAGTGGAAGGGCCTGTGTGACCCACTTTAGCCGCATGCCCTCTGGCTGGTTAAGAACCAGTGTGGTCCAAGTGTATTCTTGACCACCGTGATCTTGAGAAAGGACGATCAAGGGCAACGCTTCGAGGCCAAGGAGGCATGTCATAACTGTCCTCCCACCTGAAAAGCTCCTCTGGAACACTTAGAACCAACCAGAAGCAGGCTCCTCCCCCTCTCTCCTCCCCTCCCCCTCCCCCAGGAGGTAAGACAGTTATGACAGTTGGGAAGTAGAAGGCACAGAAGGCAGATATTAGCTCAACACAAAGAACTTTCTGATAACCACACCGGTGACTGAAAATGAACTGGGCTGCCTTCGAAGGCTCTGAGCTCTTCATCCCCGGAGGCGTTCCACTGGAGACGAGATGCCCACTGAGCAGAAATATCACCGAGTGGTACCCCATGTGAGGACCCCTGGGGCAGGGCTGGTTAGATGTGCTTCTCTTCGCTCCCAGGAAAGCTCAGAGTGCCTTCCCTTCCATTTTACTCTGGGACAGTCCCCCCAACTCTGTGGGTGGAGAGAGGTTACTATGTCAGGCAGTATTTCTGAAAGAAAGCTCCAGGGGTTATTTACATTCGAGTTGCCTTGGGACCGTGCAAATCTCCCTTGCACTTTAGATCTACGAAATTGGAATCTTTGGGGGTGAGGCCAGGAATCTTTATTTTTCTGCGGTTTTGTGGCTGATTCTTACTATTGGAAAAGGTTGAGAATGCTTTGTTTAGTGGGCAAAAGCACTTCTGAAGTTCAAGTCCTGTCTCCTACCCACAGGTTGATCTCGGGGAGTTGTAGTTTTAGTTAAATTCTCTGGGACTTTCATTTTCTCACCTGGAAAAGGAGAAAATAATTAGTCGCAGGCTCTTAAGTCTTTGTGAGATTAAATAACATGAGCTAAGCTCCTCATACCAATAATCTTCAAGTGGTCTGCCCTAGAATTACTTTAAGGATTTGTTTCAAAACTGCTTTAGGGCCCTATTCCTAGATAGGTCCTGGGGAGCACTAAGGGGCCTGTATTTGTACTAAGCTTCTCAGGGGATTCTGACAAACATCAAAATCGATAGGCACAGGCCCTCCGTGCGTGCTTCTTGTCAGTGTAGAACCCACTGGGTTAGAGCCAGACAGATCCAGGGTTGAGGAACCCGCTCTTTCCCTGAACAGCTATCTGACCTTGAGCAAGTGACTCGAGAGTTCTTGCCTACATGTTCTTCCCAGGCGAGAATATAGTGATCCCTGTCATTGGGTTATCTTTCAAATAAATGCACTGGAAGCACTTTGCAAGTGCCCAGCATGTTGCAAGTATTTAATAGATGGTCACTAAAATTTAAACCAAACACAGCTGCAGCCTCCATCTCTTTATCAATCTGAACTGAAATCATAGCTATTTTTAAGCTCATTTTAAATGAATAAAAAGTTCTAGTCTTTGTTTTACATCTGATGTGAACTGAAACGTTGAGTTTATCTTTAAATATATATGTATATACTTGAGATTACCATTCTTTGGTTAAGAAAAGCATAGGTCCAGTGAGTTTTGGCTGGCGGTTCACCTACCAGGCAAAAATACATCCTTTTGCTGGGGTCTCCCTGACGGGGCCAATTCCTGTGCTGTGCCTCGATTTGACTAGACGTGAGCGATCAAGTACAGATGGAAAATTTTTCATCCATTCTCTGCAAAGCTTTTGATTTAACATTTTCTGTAGGAGGCAATTTGGGTTATTTTTACCTACCTGATTGATGGCTGGCAACATGGAACTTGGGTTTAATTCTGGATTTCAGAGATATTAAGGCTTAGAGAAGCGTTAACCTTTCCAGCCGCGGGGAGGATGAGCACAGCCCTCCTTGGCAGTGGGCAACTACCGCATCTGCAGCAGCTTGAGAATCCCCATGTGACAACGTTGGCCTTGTCTCTCACTTTCTCTCTCTTTTGGCCCAGGTACCATTACTACGGCATCGCAGTGAAGGAGAGCTCCCAATATTATGATGTAATGTACTCCAAGAAAGGAGCTGCCTGGGTGAGCGAGACGGGCAAGAAAGAAGTGAGCAAACAGACTGTGGCATATTCACCCCGGTCCAAACTTGGCACGTTACTGCCTGAGTTTCCAAATGTAAAGGATCTCAATCTACCAGCCAGTCTGCCCGAGGAGAAGGTAACCACATCTGAGGCGACTGCCAACTGTGGTGGGGTGGGGGGGGCGGGACCCCTGTGCCCAGCCTCACACATGCAGATGCTATTACTGCACAGCAGTCCACTTAACACTATTGACATCTAAAGCAAGCATGGGCTGTGGTCAGTAATACTGCAGCAGTATTGGCTTATTAATTGTGCCAGAAGTACCATACAAATATCAGCTGTTAGCGAGAAGGGTAAATGTGTATCAGAGATATGGGAACTCCCTGTACAACTTCTCTACAAACCCCAACCTGCTCTACAGTGTGAATGTTGACCTGTCTGTCCAGCTCTATCCTCCAGCTCTCTATCTGCACATCTGCCTGCCTGCACAGCTGTCTACTTTCGCAAGGGAAGAGCCACCTTCCCCTGGATACAGTTCATTTCCCTGCATGCTGCAGGTTGCTTGGTGAAATGATAGTCCCATAGAAAAAGATGATTTTACAGATGCAGTGAATCAGACAGTTTTGATTTAGAGTATTTGGAGCAAGTTATCGGGGGAAAAAATGGAGGAGCACATCTCTAAAGCACCTGTCTTGATGCCAGTGCTAAGCAGTGCTCTAACAGGTATGGAGATGGCGCTGTCTGCGGATCACTCCAGGAGCTGGGGTACAGTGGAGGCTGGGACACAGTCCCGCTTACAGAAAATTTACTATCAGGCGGGGAGATGGATGCTTGCATAAAACAAATTCCTATGAATGCATGTTCTGAAACAAAGAGGATGAACTTATATCTGTACAGAATGTTTTAAAACCTAAGAAGTAGGTAGGGATCCACAATGATGATTTTTTTCCCCCTAAACAAAGTCCTGGAATTTTTAAATGTCTTACTGTGGTTTTAGTAGAAACACTTGCCTCCTCTCCAACAAACAGAAATCAGTTCAATAAGTCCTACTGATTTCTGTGTGCCAGACACTGTGCCAGGGACAGGATACATGAGTGTTAACAATAACGCCATTTTTATTTTCCTAGAGCCCCCAGCCTTAGAAGGTGGGGAGTGGGGGCAGAGTGGGGAGACCAAAAGGGTGAGGACACCATGTTACGCTTAGCAGGCACTGTGTGAGCAGAGGGGCACAGAGCCCCTCCACTGCCACTGCCCCAAGTGAAAATCAGCCTCACTGGGTCTTGCAGGATGAGTAGAAGTTGAGTGACTTCCATTATCCCAACAGTGAAAGACAGTGACGTAACAGCTGGAATTGGCAGGGCGGCGGCAATGTGTATTAATGTGTGCCTCTGTTGTTGCTCCTCCACCGCCCCCACAGGTCTCTACCTTTATTATGATGTACAGAACACACTGTCAGAGAATACTGGACACTGTAATAAGAGCCAACTTTGATGAGGTAGGTCAACAAGTGTTGAGCTGTGAATACTCTGTACTAAAATACCCTAATTAACACTAGCTCCTAATTCCTGAGCTGCACCTAGGTGTGGGGCCAGGCATTTGGGAGTCCTTAACATCCTGTTAGCTCACTTAACCCCTTAAAATAATTCTACAAAGTAGGTCCTATTATTATTCTCACAATATGGGTCTTGTGTGTGGATAGGGCCGGGCATGGCCCTTTCCTTGATTTAACTAGCAAAAGACACCCTGCCCTAGCGGCAAATGAGGAAGACCATTCTGCCAGGATATCATCATTACAATCAGAAGTAAAGATTCAGAGAAACTCAAGCAAAACTCTGTTTTTGGATTCCATCTATCCCTGAGGCCTCTGCACTTGGAACAGATAACCTTCCATTCTCAAGGTCTAATTCATGTTTTCCTACCACTAAGGCCCACTAGGGCCACCTGTAAATGCAAAGTGTTAAGAATCCACCTCCTTTCTTAATTTGAAAACATTATATAGTTAAGCACTAGAGAGGAGGAAATGAGGAAAGATTAATGTGTTCAACTTGAGAGAAGTGCTCCAAAGTACTTGAGCCAGCATTGCAGAGGTTTGGCTGTGCCTTACATCCTGCAGACCCCAAAGACCAGGGCAAAGTCTGAGCCATGATTGGTTCAAACCACGCTAGCTACAACCAGACCTTACTTTGCTCTGATGGCTCAATCCAATGTGAATGCCTTGGTTGGAAGGCTGGATGCTAGGCTGGTTCAGGGACCTGTTGCTTCCATCTTGTGGTTCCATCCTGCCCTCAAGCCTTGGAACAAATACTGTTCAGCTGATGAATGGGGAACAAGGCCATAGGGACCCTGACAGCTTAGAAATAACATGCATTACCATGTGTGATAGGCAAGATCTGGTCCCATCCTGATGCAGCCAGCAGGGGCTGGGGAGAGGGGCCTCTCAGGGATGATGGCCTACACCACTGGAGAAGGGAGGATCAGATCTCCAATGGGGCAGCTCACTCTTCTTCCACAATTACTAACAGCAAAGCTTGTGACAGTAACCCAGGAAACATAATCATTTATCTCTGATTATTTCACCGCTTATGCTTGGAAGGAGTAAGGAGAGTTCCTCAGAATCCTCTCTTCTAAGAAGTGTCTGTTTGTGAAATGCTTACCTGATGCCAGGCAAGTTACAGCCATACACATTATTGTCTCCACTAGATACAAGCTAGTCACTCCACTAGGTTTACTCCTAAGTAAGCTCCAGATGCAGTTGACTCCATGTCTAACTTAACACAGCCCATCAGAGCTCTTCACTTCAGACCCAAGAGCTATTGTTCTCAAGATTCAGGTTGACACTGTTAGTTGGTCAAGACTCAAATCTCGATATTCCCTCCTCTTCCTCCTCACCCTTGAGGCCCATAAAGGCCTGACAGTTACACCTTCTGAACAGAAGCCGTGTCTGTCCCACCTCGGCTCCTCAATGTTAGCTTTAGATCCCTTTCCCTCTCACCCAGAGGAACCAGTACCACTGGACATCGAAGAATCTCAACTGTAGAGAGTAGCATGAGAGGTCAAACATGGATGATTCACCACCTACACAAACTGCTCAGGAAAGCAGGATCAAGCAGAGCCCCTGTGCAGCTTGAACACACTGAAAATAGACAATCGCCTGCTAAAGACACTTGATTCGCCCCAGATTTGTTTTACTCTACACAGCAGCTGATCTTTTCCAGAGTATCTGCAAGAAATTGGCTGCTCATCTTAAAACGGGGTATGGCTGCATGAGAAGGCAGCTAAGGAAGGCAAATGAATCCAGGCTGTACCAGCTTGGCAGAACTTCTAACTCAGGAGAGCAGGCAGGGAGAACTGGGATGGGACCCGAGGCCAATGCTTGGGCACCAAGGGACAGCAGAAGGTCTTCTGGAAAACCAGCACCTCGGCTAAGAGCTAAAGCCTGGGCAAGCAGGTGTCTCAATGAGCAAGGTCATGGACAGGGACAGTAGGAATGCAGGCTGGTAATACTCAGAAACTTACAAAGCTGTCTCATTCAGGGCAGCACACTGGTTTCTTGGGCCTATCGGTTTTAGTCCTCCATAATTAAAAGTATTATGTAATAGTAACCATGGCAACAATAGTGACAGCAGCTGTGCCTCTTTCAGTATCTTCAATGGTCTGAACACTATAACAAACACTTCTTAGGAATCTTTACCAAAGCCAATGCAGTAAATTCCCATTTCACAGATAAGAAAATCAAGGCTTGGAAATGTTCCTTTCCCAGTTGGGGAGGGAGTTAAGACCGAACACTCTGGTAGTCAGTCTTCATTCATTCAGATTTTTTTCATTTTCAATCCACATGGAAACTTTCTATTTTTTTTAATCCTCATGGAATAAACAGAATTCTATCTCACAACACACAGGCCTGACCGCCTGCACACTGGGATCACATGTTTTGGTATTTACCATTCACTGCCCTTGGCAAGTCAGAGGAGCATGCCTTTCTCCTCATCCTCCAGGAAGGCCAAGCAAGCTATGGGCATTTGGGGAGCGTGTCTACAAGTGGGGTCACCAGCTGCAGTGTGGGCAGAGCTCCATCTCCCCCAGGCAGCCTGGCCAGCAGAGAACAGCCCCTACTGGTAGGGGAGACCCTGAAACACTGTCTGGAAGAAGGCCCAAGGCCGACAAATGCAGGCTCATCCATCCCTGACCTGCTTCCGGCTTTTCACAGTTAACCTCTGTGCCTTGGAGGCATGACTCTCAGCTGCTATTGCCATGTGGGTATTAAGAGGACCAGGGTACAATACCCGGCCAACAGCAGACCCTCCAAAAGAGAAACTCATGATAGTAGCAGTGTCAGCTCCAAGATATGATGCTAGAGGGATGCGATTATCTCCCACACTGAGTCAGGATGGGTTTGGGGAATCGGGTATGTGGACAATGATATCCGTGGGGTTAAAGAGTTCCCACCTGTTGAAACCAAGCCAGGCCTTTTAAAATGTAGGAAAATTTGGTGAGTTCCCTGGCTTCAAGGTGGGCTGCTCCTCACTCGATGCTAGCTGAGCCCAGATGCTCATGAATGTTATTAGATTGATGAGTTTACCCAGCCTTATTGTTCCCTTGCTTTTGCCTACCTGAACATCCCCTGTCCCCGTCCTGCTCTGGGTTCTCCACTTTGGATGTTCCCTCTGCCAGCAACAGGGCTTGAGATGCTGGTACCATCACATTCCTAGGAATCTTGGAGTGCCCGCTGCATTCCTGCTCTGTATTGATGGTTGCAATGTCCACACCACACAGACCTCACGGGCCATGTGAGGCTAACTGTCCAGCTGTCACCACCCAGCATCCCACACTAGCACCACCTGGCCGGGGCTTTGGGGGGAAACTGGAAGAGTTTGGATGTGAGAAGTCCTTTGTACTTTCCCTAGCTGTTGGCACACCAGTTTGACCCAGAACAATCCTGTGTGTGACACATACTCTTCCTTTTAGCCCCATTCCTCTCACCTGCAACTCCCTCATCTTTCCCTTCCAAAAGATCTGGCTCAAAAAGAGTGAGGATTCTGCTCCCGCTGCCTGGCTTTGAACACCTGAAGCCACATGTCAGCGCTGAAGGCACTCAAGAGATAATGTGCCGCTCCTTTTCCAGGAAGAGGAGACCCCAGCTGCAAGGGCTGGTGGTGCGCATGGCTCTTGAATGTGCAGGGGGAATGACTTGAGTCAAGGGGAACATCCAGGGCTGCTAGGCCAAGCTAAGCTGCAGTGGTGTGTGCACCCAAGGGAGGGCTGGGGCAGAGGGTGGAGGAGTAGCTAGCAGCTCTGCTAGACTGGGCTGGCCTGGGTGGGGGGTCCCAAAGCTCAGTAGGGAGAGCCCTCCCTGTAATCATGGTTCTTTTCTGTGTGGGTCAATCCAGGTTCAGAGCTTCCTGCTGCACTTTTGGCAAGGGATGCCGCCCCACATGCTGCCCGTGCTGGGCTCCTCCACTGTGGTGAACATCGTCGGTGTATGTGACTCCATCCTCTACAAGGCCATCTCTGGGGTGCTGATGCCCACCGTGCTGCAGGCACTACCTGACAGGTGGGCACCCCGATACCCATCCTCTCACTGTGGTTGCTCCCCAAGCACTGTTTGTTCTTGCTTCTCCTTTATCGTTGCTAACCACACACTGCCCAGAGGTCTCCCTTATAAGGACCATTGGGCATGGCCCCTTAGAACTGATTAATGTTCTTTGAATAAAGTGGTTAGATTGGGAACTACATTCCCTCTCTCCTGCTCCCCAGATACCCAACCCCTTCCCAGAGCATCAGATGGAATCCAATGTGCGATGCACCCGTCCAAAGTCTGCCTAGCATAGTCTTTCCTGGTTCAAACCAAAGTGGTGGCACTGTATATACTGTTCCATGTCTTCCTTAAACAGCGACTACCAATTACCAACAGCTGAATCTTGGCCATGGTGCTAGGAAGGAGGGAGGACAGTGTGATCAGGAGACGGACTCTCCCCGTGAGCTCCTGTGGGGCTGGCCACGTCCCTCCACAGGCTCTGCTCCTAGCCAGGCGCCCCTCACCTTCTCGGCCACACTCTTAGCCCCAGGTTGCTGCAGTCTCTCCTACAGGCTCCTTTATACGTGTCCACACCTTACCACTTGTGCCTTGTAAATAAGTGAGAAGTCTGGAATCAAGGTGTTGGCAGAGCTGTCCTCTTAGGAGGCTGTCAGGTCCACGCCTGTCCCTAAGTTTCTGGTGGCTGCCAGCAGCTTTGGAGCTCTCTGGCTTGGAGACACACCACTCTGCTCTGTGTGTCTGCCTTCTCCTATTCTGCTGTTTCTAGGAACACTTGCCATTGGATTTAGGGCTTGATTAATCTAGACTCATCTCAACTAAAGCCTTTAAAAAAATGTATTCCAAAAGCAGAGTTGGGCGTGGGGGACAGAGAGAGATGTTTCATCTGCTGGTTCCCTTCCCAAATGGCTACAATGGTGAGGGCTGGCCAGAGGGAAGCCAGCAGCAGAGAGCTTCCTCTGGGTCTCGCCTATAGGGCAGAGACCCCAGCATTTGGGTCATTGTCCGTTGCTTTCCCAGACACATTAGCAGAGAGCTGGATCTGAAGGGAGGCAGCCTGCACTTGAACAGGTGTCGATATGGGGTGCCAGCATTACAGGCAGTGGCTTAACCCATTACCCAACAATGCTGGCTCCTAGAGGTTTTTATGTGAGTCGTATCTGCAAAGATCCTTTTTGCAAATAAGATTGCTCTTGTGGTTCTGGGTGGATTTTAGGGTCTATTGTTTATCCTGCCACATGGAGTATATATGTAGGATAGACCTGAATTCATGGTTCAAGGATATATGACTTACACATTTCTGAGTGAAGTTTTAATATGCACTTAAAAATGAAGCTGATTCTCTCATCGTAGCTATACTTACCAGTTATTTATATTTTTCCTCCAGTGAGCTCTGTTCCTAATCTTTCCCTAATTTTCTTCTTTGGTATTTGGTCTATCATTGATTTTAAAGGACCTTATTTATTAGGGATTAACAATTCATGTTAAGAGTTGCAAATCTCTCTCGCTGTTTTGTCTTTGTCATATGGAAAATATATTGCTGTTTGAACTTACGGATCTGGTTTTTATGACCCCTAGATTTTGTATTCTAGGTCTTTCCGCCTGCAGTTATAGTTTTACCATAGCTGCTCTCAATCACTTTGTGATATAATGTGTGTCTCGATGATTTTGCTCAACTTGAGATTCCCTAACATAAGCTGTAAAGGGCACCTCTTCCTGCAGCCCCTGTTGTCTCAATATCACATATGAATGCTTACATTTTCTTTCCAAATATGACATGCTTCCTCAGTCATGCCATCCATCTCATATGTACTTGTGGCTATTTCTGAACTTCCTGTTCTCTCTCATCTGTATTTCCATCTAGTTACGTTCCAGCAGCTCTCTGTTTTAAGTTTTAAACATCCAAATATCCAGTAGAGCTAGCTGCTCATCAGCACTTTCCTTTTGTAGAATTTTCCTGTTCTGACACTTATTTTTCAGCATGCATCATTTTAGCATGAACTTTCTATTTAAATACCAAGAATAGCTATGTATACATATATGTTTATACACATGAAGAGGCTTAAAACATTTTGTGGAAAACAAATTAAAATATGGCAGGAATTTTTCCATAAACTTTTTTTAATGCCTGGAGCTCTGGCTGCTCCACCCTCCTCCCCCCCCCCCGCCCCTTATGATTTACTTATTTATTTTAAAGGCAAAATTACAGAGGGAGGGAAAGACAGAGTCTTCCATATGCTAGTTCACTCCCCAAGTGGCCACAACAGCTGGAGCTGGGCCAGTCTGAACTCAGGAGACAGGAGCTTCTTCCAAGTCTCCTATGTGGTTGCATGGGCCCAAGCATTTGGGCCATCTCCTGTAACTTTCTTAGAAACATTAGCAGGAAGTTGTAAAGCAAGTTGTGCAGCTAGAACTCAAACTGGTGCCCATTAAGGATGTTGGCAGTGTAGGTAGTAGACTAACGCACTGTGCCACAACACTTGCCACTCTGAACTTTTTGAAGCCCCTTGTATATTTGGGGAGGTCAAAGTTTTCACTACGCTTATGAGCAGTTTATGGAGAATTACATGTTGGTGACATTGAGAACTCCTAAACTTAGCCGTAGTTTGCTTTCTCATGTATTCTGTCTTCTGTTGCAGTTCCTAGGAAAGTCACACTTGCCTTTTAATACATATATATATGCATGTCACATATATATGTATGTATAATTATATATGTATTATATATGTATAATATATATTATGTTTATAAATATGTTAAAACTCTCATGCATTTATGATTAGGTTTATTACTAGATTTTCAAATCATCTTATTACTATTTGTTTGTTAACAGTGGTTGTTTATATGAGTATGTAAAAGATATCAATACTGGCATTTGATACCTGGACTTAACTATTAGGTTTAATTACCTGACCACTGCATCCATTTTTAAAATCCTGTCAGATTTTTCTGGGTTAGAAACAAACATAATTTTGCTTTGATTGTCTGATTTTTATGCCTCTCACTTCTCTTGTCTAATTATGTTGGCCTAAATTTTGAGAACATAAGATTCTAATGGAAATCCATCTAATGTTTACCCACTAAACACAACAATTACTTTTGGGTTAAGATGACCTATTTTATCATGCTAAGCAATGGCTGTCTTAATTAAGCATATACATCTTATGAAGAATTTTTGTTGAGAAATTGTAAATGATTGCATTATTAATCTCCTAACCTCAAGCTGTTTTTGCCTTCTTAGAATAAATTTCGCTTAGGAATAACATTTATTTTTTTCTTTAATGGGCTGTAGGGCTTTATTTGTTAGTGTTTTACTAAGAATTTCTGCATCAAAAAAAATATCCTACAAGTGAGATTGAATACCATTTGATTGTCAGTGTCTAATTTTTGTTATTTGTTTGTATCAATGTTACATTTCTTTAAGAAAAGACATCGAAGTTTCCTTCTTTTTTCATAAGCTCCAAAAAGGTTAAATAGCATTAGAATTATTTGCTCTTGAAATTTACATAGAATGAAAGTATTTAGGTCTGCGATTTTATTGCAGTTTTTTTTTCTGTTTTTTTCCCCTAGAGTAATTGGTCAGTTTAGATTTTAGATCTCTAAATTTTGGCAGATTACACTTTCCTAGAAAATTGCCTGTTCTTTCCTATCTTTTAAATTGACTTTGGTAGTGTTGAGCCAAGCGGGTCAGTAGGCTTACTGAACGTCCTCTGTCATTATTTTCACTTCATTCTGTTTCAGTTGCTGTAGCTGTACTTTCTGTCACTTCTTTTCCTTTTTTGTTTGGACTCTTAAGGGACAAGCTAGACATTTACACTGGTGCAACTATTTGAATTTTTTCCTAATGCATGCATCACAAACACTATTAACTTACTCTTTCGTTTTCCTTAGGTTTATTCTGTTATGGATTTATTTAGCAAACATTTGAGAGCTTCCTATGTTTGGCTTAGCTCAATAGCCAAGAAATAAGCATTAAAAAATAACCAAAATAAAGATGCTTAATTTGATTTTTTTTTCATTCATTTTTATTAACACAGTGTTTCAAACTCAAACTTGTCTTTGAACAGTGTTTTAGCTGTGTCCTATAGGTATTGATATACAATATTTTAATGCTACTATTTTTCCTGATGTTTTGAAAGTTTTGTTCAGAGTTCTTTCTAGTCTCAAGAATTTAAAAAGATCATTTAAAAATTTTCTGAGTGTTAGGGACTTTTGTTTTATGATTATGTTATTTTAATTCTTATTGCTTTGTGACAAAAGGCTAAGTATTTAATTGATACTTGGAGAAAAAAAAGCTTTTTTTCTAGACTGACATGCGTGTTATTTGGATTAACTTTGTTGTTTATTTTTTTTAAAAGATTTATTTATTTTTATCACAAAGTCAGATACACAGAGAGGAGGAGAGACAGAGAGGAAGATCTTCCGTCTGATGATCCGAAGCTGGGAACCAGGAACTTCCTCCAGGTCTCCCACACAGGTGCAGGGTCCCAAGGCCTTGGGCCATCCTCGACTGCTTTCCCAGGCCACAAGCAGGGAGCTGGATGGGAAGTGGGGATGCCAGGATTAGAACCGGTGCCCATTTGGGATCCCAGCACGTTCAAGGAGAGGACTTTAGCTGCTAGGCCACGCCACTGGGCCCAACTTTGTTGTTCTTTAGTTATTCAGTTTTTTAGTATTTATCCCTTTAGATATGTTATGAACCAATAAAGTAAGAGTTTTGAGTTCTGGCTCCTCTTCCGATTCAGCCTCCTGCTGATGCGTGTTGCAGCAGGCAGTGGGTCCCTGCTGCCGACGTGGGAGATCCAGATGGAGTTTCCATCTGATGGTTCAGCCTGGCCCATCCCCAGATGCTGAGAGCATTTGGAAAAGGGAAGCAGTAGAAAGGTTGTTCCTGTCTGTCTCTTCCTGCCTTGCAAATAAATAAAAACCTGAACAATAGTTTCATTGCTTAAACTCCCGCCCCATTCACCTATTCTGTCAGCCTCTCCCCACACTCTGAACTCCTGACAATCACTCCA